GCGGCAGGCGCGGGAGAAGATGCTGGCGGCGCAGCGCGCGGACGGGGCGGCCCCGGGGGGCGAGGGCGTGACTCTGCAGCGCAACATCACGCTGCTCAACGGCGTGGCCATCATCGTGGGCACCATCATCGGCTCCGGCATCTTCGTGACGCCCACGGGGGTGCTCAAGGAGGCGGGCTCGCCGGGGCTGGCGCTGGTGGTGTGGGCCGTGTGCGGGGTCTTCTCCATCGTGGGCGCGCTCTGTTACGCCGAGCTGGGCACCACCATCTCCAAGTCAGGCGGCGACTACGCCTACATGCTGGAGGTCTACGGCTCGCTGCCCGCCTTCCTCAAGCTCTGGATCGAGCTGCTCATCATCCGGCCCTCCTCACAGTACATCGTGGCGCTGGTCTTCGCCACCTACCTGCTCAAGCCGGTCTTCCCCACCTGCCCGGTGCCCGAGGAGGCCGCCAAGCTCGTGGCCTGCCTCTGCGTGCGTGAGTACCGAGCGCGGGGCGCGGGAAGAGGGGGCGTGGTCCTTGGGTCCCCCAGTTCCATCCCCGGAGGTTCTAGGTCACTGGCCCCAAGCCACGTGCATTTCATTCATTGGTGTACGACCCTCTAGGCGGCTCTGGGAGTACCCCAGCGAGGAGACAGCAGGGTCCCCGCCCCGACCCCCACACTCAGCGGGCAGTCCTCTGCCTTAGCCCTTGCGGAGCAATATTGCCAGCCTCTTGCCTGGCGCCCACGTGGAGTGACCTAGCAAGCTCATGGGCCCTGAGGTTTAACTCCCTAGGCCCAGAGGGACCACCTGCTCCCTGCCGGCCATGGTAGCGTATCTCCTAGGTCCCCGGCGTGTGCAGAGTGGGGCTAGGGTGAGGAGTGGTCCCCCAGCTCGGCCCCCCCACCCCGAGGCAGGAGCCTGGGGGGGCTACCTTCGCAGTCGGGGGGTGGGCACCTCAAACCCCACCCTTCCCCCCACGCCCGTCTTGCCTCAGCCTGCCCTTGGGCACCGCACGCTCCCAAGCCGGACTGGAGTACACACGAGAAAACAGGGGAGTCGCAGGGCCTGGGTCTCCGCCCGCGCAGCCACTCCTGGATCTCCCGGGGACCCCTAGGGTTCCGGGCCCGCGCGCCACATGCTGCCGGCCATGCGGAGGGGCGCAGCT